CTGAGTCCCCTCAGGGAAAAGGGCGGCCTATAAGTAAACTCAACTACAACTACTACAACTTTTATTTAATTTACAGTGAATTCCTCTCCAGCAAAGTCCTGGCCCACAGTCTTTCAAGATAGTTTACAATTACCGACCTTTATCAGACTTAGAGAATGGCCAGGCCGATATCTTTCAGACGTCGCAATACTTGGCAAGAATGCAGGAATGAACTAATTGTCTACCTGCAACCTTACTCCCAACCTTGTTCCTTAACTGTTCCCTTCATCTGGTGACTCTTCACATGTTCACACTGGGAACAGTTAGTTTGCCTCGTTGATGTCTGACTCCAAAGGCACCTAAAAAGTGTCAGACGGTCCTAGCCCCATCTATTCCTCTGATGCAGAGCACTCGCCAGAGCCTTCCTGAGACTCCAGGACTGGCCCTTGTTCTTCCCCAACCTCCTCACTGTTCGAATCTGCTGTCAGCTCTGCTGGCGGGCTATAACAGAGAGTGACTGGCTCATCATTTCTTTTTCATGCCTAAAGTGCGACTAAAACCTCCTGATTTCTAACCCCATTTAGTCATGTTTGGAACAGAAATAAATGGCACAATTATGCTAGCTTTATTTTAAAATATGTACTTTTAAAAATGAGGTTTTTTTAAAAAAATTGCACGAATAATAATATGCGTCTCTTTCTATTCTTATTGGCTTATTCTCCCAGACCATGTTTTTAATTTAAAACTAGATTCTTGTCTTACACAACATCCCCAGGTGGCAGCCAGCTTGGAGAAGAACCTTATTCCTAAGCTGACCAGCTCCTTGCCTGATGTGGAAGCATTAAGACTATTTCTAACACTGCCAGAATGCCCCTTAATGAATGAAGCAAACAACTACATGACTTTGGCTATTCCGTTTGCAACTGCTATCGTGAATCTAGAAAAAGCTCCACTGAAAGTACTTGGTAAGGTTGGTTTGCTTAATGTCAATTATAAATATGTAGGTGTTACTCTGCTGCAATGAATGAGTGTATTGCAAAACTCAAGTAGGTGTGTATGCAGTACCTGGGGCTTTTTTCAATTCTTAAACTATTGAAGAGAAGTACAGTGGAACCTCAGGTCACGAGGTTTGGTCGGCACCCCACGACCAAATTGGGTGCCGACCAAAAAAATTCCACTAAAAGTTTCACTCTGTTCATGAACACATCCTCCGGTAGCGATCAATCACAGCTGCAACTATTTTACCTGCTATAGCAATTTCCCCTTCTGCGCCTTTTTTTGTGCACACATGCGCAGTCAGTCTTTCTTTCAGTCATGACCAAATTGGGTGCTGACCGAAGTCCTGGAACAGATAACAGTTGTGACCCGAGATTCCACTGTATTGTTGTATGTTCACTTTCATACATCTGATATACGTCTGAGTAGCAAGCTGTGGTGGTTATTGTTAATAAACCTATATAAAATACAATTTATTTTTTGATTTCCCATATGGATCTCATTGTTAAAGATAGTTGCTAGTGAAGGACATATGTTAAGAACTACATAGATTCAGAAGAAAACACTAATGCATTTTGTCAATGACAGTTTATACCCCTCGGACCACTCCAATGTCCTTTTTGTCTGTTACAAGATTTTGAGCATACTTTTGCATTGGTGCTAGTTTGGTTGGTTGAGTGCTCTCAAGAGTTAAGGCAGGGGGATTTTATTAGCCATTGTGTTCCTAAGGATCAGTTTTATCCCATTTATTTTAAGGATGATGCGGACAATATCCAACTTTCTGTTTTTCAGCTAGTTCTCTATGCAATGTTTAGATATAATAATAGATGTCATTATTCAGACATTAGCTTCCCAAGAGCATGAAGCAAACTCCTTGTCCCGGCAAAAAAAACCTTTTATTAATTTATTGTGAATTCTTCTTATTCACATCCAGCAAAATCTTTTAAGGGAGGATTTACAATCACAGACGTTATCTGGCTTGGAGAGCTGACAGGCCAAAATCTGTAAAACCTAGCAACGAGTTTCGGAGAGTCACAAACCAATTAAGTGAACTAATTGTCTCCTGCAAATTCCACGCCCCTTTCGCTCCTCTTTTATTTCCTCAGGGAGGGAGCATTCGTCGTCCACCTGTGTCGACCCCTGTTCTTTAGCTGGCAACTCTGTGCATGCACACACTGGGAACAGGCTCCAGCTATTTGTCTGCCTCACTGATGTCTGACTAAAGGCAGCTGATAACTGGCAGCTGATAACTGGCATACGACCTTGGCCCCTTCTCTGCCTCCAATACAGAGCCCTCATCGGAGCCTTCCCCAGGCTCCAGGACTGGCCTATGTTCCTCCCCAACATCCTCACTGTCCGAATCTGCTGCCACATTTGTTGGCCGCTGGCGGGCCACTACAGTCATGTAGACTAACAACTTTTAGATAAGATAAAATTGTAGGAATTTAATAAGATTCCAATCTGGCAGTGGAAGTACAATTTGCTTCAGGTGACGTTGTGCTTTGACCAAAGGGCTAAGATCACATTTTGAGAGCACTTTCAGGATTTATTATTGCTTTCGGAAGATCCAAACTTTTCTGTCACTGAAAGGTTGGCAACCGCTGTTCTATATGATAATGAGCCTCCTCAAAGTTTTGCTTTGCTGGTCCTAAAACCTTGGCAGTCAGTTTTTTCTAAGAAACTCAACTGAGAAATTTCTAGAGAGCTTCTATTAATTCTTTAATTTTTGAAACTGTCAGTTTCTACCTGCATTTTATAAATTCTGTTATATCTGCTCATTGTTTTTAAACATGTCAGGTTGTCTCCTGTTTTAATTGGTTCAATATGTTTGCTTGCTTTATATCTCATTATATCATATAAACTTTTCATGATTCAGAAGCAATTAAAAAGTTTTTAGTTAAAACATAATATGAGTAAATGGATGGGTTTTTTTTGATGTAGAGTTAAACCGTTGGTGAAATGAGGTCATAGAGAATGTTAAATAGAAACTAATTCAACCAGCTGTAGACTGCGTCAGTAACTCTCACCTTCTTGCCTGTCTGTAGAAAACTGGTGGTCTATATTGGAACCTCCATTGTTCCTCAGAATTGTGGAACTTTACAAAGATGTTGTAGTCCACCTTCTGAAACTGTACAAGTTGGGTATCCCTGCTTCAGAGCAAAGAATCTTTGCAAGCTGCCTACATGCTTCGCTCAAAGTTTTGGAAATATTACATAGGGTATGTCTTGGAAATCTGTATTATTTGCAAGTTAAGGTTCAGGTTATATCTATCTTCAGTGTAATGGATACAAGTATTAATTTATAGGTTAGGTTCTTTTAGAGTGCCTTCTTATTTTGTAGACAATTTGGAATTTATTTGGCAACTGTAGTTGTCATTGGAAGGAACATTTATCTTCTAGTGAAGAGAACTGCTTTAATTTAATAAAGCATCTGAACTGTAAATCTAATCAAATGAATTTCATTTGATTAAATCAAATCAATTTCATAATATAATATATTTTCATGGGCACAGGTATGCAGGTTTTGGCATATTCGGGTCTTTTCCCATGTAAGATTGAAATTGTCTTGGCAACGTTTCGGCAAGGTCTCACTCGCCATCTTCAGGCTGGTGTTTTTGTGAAAACAAAAGAAAACAATCTTACACAGGAAAAGACCTGAATACAACAAGCATACCTACACCCATGAAAATCTACGAAAACATATACATACATACATACATACATACATACAGATCAAANTGATTTAGACAATACAATAATTCATAAGACCCAAGGGATGAGTTAATTGCCTTGGCACAATATTGTTCCATAGGCATAATAAACTTCTGTTCACTGGATTACAAGCTTTGTCCTTTTTTGGGCATCTTTATTTTCCTAGCCATGTGGAGCAGCTGAATCCAAATATTTAGTCTTCTAGTATACATTACAGGTAATTCTTCACTTACAATAGTTTGTTTAGTGACCGTTCTAAGTTACAATGGTATTGAAAAAAGTAATTTATGACCGTTTTTCACACTTATGACCATTGCAGCATTCCTAGGGTCATGTGATAAAAATTCAGATGCTTGGCAACTGACTCACATTTATGATGGTTGCACTGTCCCAGGGTAATATGACCATCTTTTGCAACCTTCTGACATTTGTAAATATGATCATCTTTTGTAACCTGACAAGCAAAGTCATTGGGGAAATCAGATTCACTTAACCATGTTACCAACTTAACTGCAATGATTCACTTAACAACTGTGGCAAGAAAAGTCGTAAAATGGGGCAAACTCACTTAACAAATATCTCACTTATCAACAGAACTTTTGGGGCTCAGTTGTGGTTGTCAATTGAGGACTACTTGTAGTACCTGAAACTGGGGACGCTTGGGTTAGCTAAATTGCAATAAATAAATAAATTTATATTTTGAATGTCATTTTTGAAAAGTCTGGAATTTCCTCCTTTCTTGCTTCCTAGACATTTCTTTCCTCTTTGTTACAGGCAACACACATCTGCATTTGTTCCCTCAACTGGAAGAATTTACTCTTTTGGTCTTGGAGGAAATGGACAGTTAGGCATGGGAACAACCAGTAATAGGAAAAGTCCCTTTCCAGTAAAAGGAAATTGGCTTCCATACAGTGGCCAAATTCCACTGAATTTAGGTGATTATATCTATTCTTTGTTTGCCTGAGGTGTTATTGGACTGAAGTACTATTGGAGCTACTGGCTGGGTTCACGCATTATTCTACAGTATCATATGATTGATTGATTTCTTGGTTTAATCTTTTGCATTTATTATAAGCAATGGTTTGTGTGTTGTGCACACTCAGCCAGTTGCAGTTTAGTGAACAAATTTTGATTAGACCATGACTTGGTGGTATATTCAAGATGTCCCATTGTGATAAATTTAGTTCTTGGTAATATAATTATGTCTCATGAAAAAAAATTGTATTAAGTCTATATTAGTTGCAATACATTGCAACACAAGTGTTAAATCATTTCTATGCAAGGAAAATCCAATCTTTAGGAAACTGCCAGCACCAATTTATTCTATAAGATTATTTTTAAAATTGCAAATATAATACAGAATAGAAATTGTTCTTGTTGTTAAACCCTGGAATAAAACATGTTAACTGAAGTACCTGTTAAGTTAGCAAATGTGTCAGAGTTACAATAGTTACATTTCTTAAATTAATTTCACTTACAACTAAAATAGCTAGTCCATTGAAGATATTCTTATTTTAATTATAGATGATGAAGATTATTATTGTGTAAAGAGGATTTTTTCTGGTGGAGACCAAAGCTTTTCACATTATGTTACTCCACAGGTACGTTATTTATTTTGATTGATGAGCTTGCTTCTGTTTGACTAAAAATAATGACTAAGTTTGATAATAGAAACAGATGCTAGTGGGCTTTTTTTCCATTTCAGGAGCATAATTGGTGTACCTGTTGTATATTAGCTTGCTTAATCTTTTTTCCAAAAAGATTTTCCTAGAATTTAAATTATTAAATAAGTGTATGATTTGTTGCTTAGTATTTGTGTAATTATTAATTATGTGCCATCAATCTGTTTTTGATTCCTGATGACTCATAAAGATAGATTTTTTCTCCAGTCTGGCCCTTCAGCTGCAACATTGTCACTCTTATTGATTCCACCCATGTTGCTGCCAGTCACCCTCCTCTTCTCTTTCTTTCCATCTTTTCCAGTATTAGAGCTTTCTCTAGGGAATGGTGCCATAATGTTTCCAATGTAAGATAATTTGAACTTGAATTATTGTTGTGTAACTATTACATAACTTTTTGCTTTCAAACTTGGTAGATTAATCTGACACTACCAGTTTCATGTTTGAACAAGTCTCCCTACCTGAATTGAACAGAAGCAAATAATAGTCTATATTTTACTTTTAAAACAATTTCAAAAAATAATTCAGCAGATTTTATCAAATATGTGAACATATAAAAAAGTAGCCAGGAATGAAGTGACTTAGAAATAAAAATAGGACAAGTTATTAAAACCTATTATAAAGATTATAATAGGACAACTTAAAAAGGGATTGTGCATGGTTTTGATTGCTGTTCATTACTGTAAATTGTTTTCATAGTATTAATGGTTTTATTATTTAGTGTTGTGTTATAAAACATGGCTGGCTTTAATGCAGGTATAAATAAGAGAATGAATAATTTTCTTTCAGCTGTCAGCCTAGGCATTTGACACAATTTCTTGTGTACATCATTTACCACTTAAATGCAGGATTTGGTACCAGCAGATGACTTCAGATATCCAAATACTTCAAAACAGATATGGACTGTGAACGAAGCTTTCATTCAGAAATTAATAAACTATTCGTCTTCAGGTGCAGGGAGGCTCCCTGTGGAGATAGCAAAGTAAGAATTATTCCTACTTTTTTATAAATCTTATAAACCAGTCTTTCCCAACCTTGGGAACTTTAAGATGTGTGGACTAAGTTCCAGAAATACCCAGCCAATAATAAAGCTTTGTGCTTTATCTGATATTACATATCTTTCCTCATCATCTGGAGCCATAACATAAAAACTCTGGAAATGAACTGCTAATTCTCCGGTGCACTACTTGGAGTGTCCAAGCAAGGGTTAAATTCTGTCCCACTGCCCAAGGACGCCATCTTTATTTGTCAGGCATTACAAACTGTACAAATACGGCTCTGCAGATGCTGTCTTCGGAAGACGTATCTTGCAGACCGTGGTTTCTGCCGAATCTTAACGTGGATTGTGGACCTAATTGAGGGCACCCACCCTAGTGACATTTTGCTTGGGCATGTCCCTTGCTTGGATACTCCAAGCAGTGCACCGGAAAATGACTATTGGCTTACCTGAAGGTCGTTCTCAGTGCACCTGCAGGAGTGTCCAACCCCACCCTGCGGTATTATTTCCAGGATGTTCTGCTTTGCCATGTGAAGATCTATTGCCAGGTGGACATCCATCTCAGATGGGCCATGCCTTCATTGAAAAACTGAGGATGGAAGGAGCCAGAGGGCGTGGCCAAAGATTTTCAATCCAGTCCTTGGGCAATGGGACAGAATTTGACCCTTGCTTGGACACTCCAGCAGTACACCAAGAATGACCCTTCAGATAAGCCAATGGTCAATCTACTTGTCAGGGCAGTTTGTTTGAGTGTCACCAACCCAGGAGATGCAAAAATATTATTGGTGTTTTCATTGTTTAGAGAGATAACTGGGGTATTTATGCCACAAATCATGTGACTGAGGGGGAGGGAGGACCATCTGAACACTGAATATGAGTCATAAGCACCCCCCTAGGTCGGTCCCTCAGAACTTTGAATGGTTGCTAAGTAATCGGACATAAGTCAAGGACTACCATGATAATTTATTAAATGTAGGTTCCACTTGCACATACGTGCTAGTCATTCCCGACTCTAGGGGACGGTGCTCATCTCCATTTCAAACCCGAAGAGCCAGCGCTGTCCGAAGACGTCTCTGTGGTCATATGGCTGTCATGAGTAAACGCCAAAGGTGCACGGGACACTGCTACCTTCGTACCAAAGGTGGTCCCCATTTTTCTACTTGCATTTTTACATGTTTTCAAACTGCTATGTTGGCAGAAGCTGGGACAAGTAACAGGAGCTCACTCCATTACATAGCACTAGGGATTTGAACTGCCAAACTACCGATCTTTCTGATCGACAGGCTCAGCTTCTTAGCCACTGAGCCACAGTGTCCCTTTACTAAATGTAGATAATATTAAATGCTTTTTACAAATTGTTAAACACATTTAAAAACGAAACAAAAAGGAACTAAAATGTCAGATACAACAAACCTAGATGAGAACACACACACAAAAAAGAAGAAACGTGTGTTAGTCACACTCACTAATGGACCTGTCTTTTTCTTTTTTCTGTTTTTGTAATAGTGAAATAGATGGAATGTTTTCTTCTGCTGGCTGCCTAAATGGAAGCTTTTTAGCTGTCAGGTCAGTGGATAATGAATACATAACTGAATGAAAATGTTAACATATGTTTATATATGTAAAAAATGGCTGCATAACTATGTAACGCCATGAGCAATTTCAACCAAACTTGGTACACAGATGACTTACTCTCTGGAAACAAATACTGTGGGGGTAAGACACCCGAAAAACTTCTCAGAGTGTGTGTTCTGTTAAGATACAGCCTGTTGTTCCTTAAAATGGCTTCTACTGTACTGCTGTAAAATGGCTTCTACTGTACAGAACAGTGGAGTTGCCATGGTAATGGCTTCACAGTTCTTCAAAAGGGGGTTCCCTCTAGTAAAGGGAAAATCCAACATTAGAAATTACATTTGGTCCGGACATTTTTCCCCTATAAATAAATACCCGGGCAATGCCGGGTTATTGGTTAGTTTAAAATATAGAAAAATGTGTACAAAGTAACATTTACCTTTCTTCTTTCTGTAGCAATGATGATCACTACAGAACGAGTGCCAGATTCTCAGGAGTGGATATGACTGCTGCCAGGCTTTTATTTCACAAACTTATACAGCCTGAACACCCACACATATCTCAGCAGGTTGGCCTTTAAAATCTCTTCCAAGTTCATTTCGATTCCATTGCATGCTATTCTGTGTTAACGTCTGTACCATATTCTTTTTGTTCCACCATGCATGGGGAAATTTGAATTGTGAATATATTCGAATTTAATATTTTATTTCTGAATTGTCAAAAAGTATGAATTTCATTAAGGTGCTTTACACAGCAAGATGGAATGATAAATAATGTATCAGAGATTTGGTTTGTTTATACTTTTTATTTAGGCTTGTGTAAGAAACTATGACAAGTGTTCTTTGTCTCATTTTAACCAAGTGAAGACTTATTTGCTAGTATTATTTGCTTTGCAAAAGTCCTTGGGGGTAACAGTAAAGACTTTTCAAAGCAAGGTGGCTGGATAGAGCAGCAAACAAATAAAAGGTGAAGCAAAATGCAACTTTCTTCAGATATGTAGTTTTAATTTTATATTTAGATGTAACAAAGGGTATGATTAAAAAAGGCAAGAGGGTGGCCTCAACAAAGTGACACGCAAAAACAGACAGAGTTTTGATTGCTCTGACGATGCCATCTTTCCTTTTTATATATATCTATCCCGCCTTTATTATTTTTAAAATAAGGCAGTGAAAATATCTAATACTGCTTCCTCCTCCTATTTTCCCCACAAAAACAATCCTGTGAGGTGAAGTGTTCTGACCTAGGCTTCCCCAGCAGCCTGAAGCCAAGTCCTTGTCCCGATAAACCCCGATAAACTACCTGGACCCCTTCCAGTCCGGCTTCAGACCTGGTTACAGCACAGAAACCGCTTTGGTTGCATTGACCG